AACAATTTTATAGCTTTCAATCAGTTGTGTCGCCGTAGAACGAGTCGAGCTGAGGCGAGTCGTGTGTTGCAACTTGTTGTAATTTATTCGTTATACGCAAATAGAGTCACTACTTTGCAATTTTGTGTGTGAATATTTATGCTGATTGTGGTGCTGGCGCCAAGAACTTGCCAGCAGCAGCTCTAACACCACCACAGCGCCACCGAACGCTGTGTGGATTTCGACATGTCCAATTCATTTCTTCGTCACTTGAGCTGATAAAAAACGCATAGCAAGGCGTATATATATATATATATGTATATATATATATATATGTATATATTATTTTCGCATATGTGTCGCATAGTTGGGGGCGAGTGGAACCTATTTTCTAGTTTTTTTTTAAACCAATTTTTTTAATAGTTGCCTCGTCCAATTCTGACCTCATTCGACGGATACGCGGCACAAGCCGCTGCTCACTGGCCGCTGGCCGCTGGTCGCTGGCCGCAAACGCGATTTAAATTGCTAGAAATTGAAAGTGACACTGAGCGCATAAAACAAATTGCAGCTCGCGTAGACTCACAAAAAAAAAATTGTATTTATATACAAAATGACAAAAGTACATAAAATACCAAATAGAAAAACGCTTTCATTATAACAAATTGCAATCCCCTTGCCCTCACTGTCAAAGAGGCCCCTCGCACCCATTTGGCGCCGTAATTTGAGTTGAAATGCGTTTCAAGAAACCCGGAAAGCATATTTCTTAGGGACTTTACTCAAGCCCATATATATTTCTGGAGGGGGTGCAAACCGTAAGCGACAACAATAACAAATTAGTTAAAGTAAACAACAAACAATTGCCATTTGTTTTTGGCATGCAAAAAGTAATACAAAGTTTCTTCAGAGTGTGTAAACAATATACGAAAGGGCAGATGTGTCGCAAGGCAAACATGTAAATGAGCTGATGTGCACAGAGATACCATGTTCTCTGTTTATCAATGAGCCAGGGCGAAAATATATTTCGTTGCTACAAGTTGTTCTACTTCGAATCCCGCAAAATTAAAACTGGTGCTGGGATTCTATAGAGCAACAAAATTGATGAAAATTCGTTTTGGTATTCATATTAAAAGCAAAGTAGTGTTCATACAATATAATATAAATAAGAATTCAGATTTTTTAGCTTACACAGAAGTTGTGTATGTGGAGTGTAGTATAAGACTCCACATATTGTCTAAATACAGGGTATTAAAAGGGCTTTGGCGTGTTCGTTGAAATGCAAATTGCGAGTTAATTACAACACAGTTTCAGGGCCTTAAAAGGATCAAATGACAAATGTGTCAAGTGTTGAGCTTGAGGCCGCGTTTTTTCTCATATTTGAAAGGGCAAACAAACTGACAAAGTCTGCCAAAGAGTTGAGCAAATGCCAATAGAGACGGCAGCAGTAGAAGAGCTCTGTCAACATATCAGGCGACAATGGCTGTCAGCTAACAATTTTTGGCTCTTGTTTAATAAAAGTTTGTGTTGAATTTAGAAATAATATGATAACCCACTTCAATCGCTTTACAAATTTCATTTGGTGTGTAAAACATGGCGGATGAGAGACGTAGATGCTGCTGCTTCTGCTTATTGATGGGCTGTCAAAAGTCGTCATTGAAAGCAAAGCAAGCACTCGCTGATGTTTGTTTATGCGGCAGCAGCAGCAGCAGCAACAACAACAACAGGCAGGCTCTGCTTACGCCCCATGAAGGCAGCCGCAAGATACACACATGCACAGTTGTATCTTAAAGATACATAATAAGTACGGCACGCGATATGCCAAGTAGCAGCCCAGGCAGCAAAAGCGGGGACAGCAGTTTACTGGAGCGCATCATCAATGTGTAATCTAGTTTCATGACGAACATTGAAATACCCTCGGCACCCTCGAGTGCCTCCTCCAGCAGCGTAACACGATGCCTGTCAATGAGGTGCTAATGGAGCCGCCTGTCAGCGCAAGAGCTAGACCAACAGCCAGCAGCCAGCAGCCAACAGCCAACTGCAGTCCCAGGCATAACTTTAATATATACAGTTAGGCAAACCACATTCATGTTTTATCGTCCAACAAACCGAAGTGCATCTTTAATATGAATAAATCAAATGGAAATAGTTTAAAGTTGCATTTACCACTGCTCGCTTCTCTTATTCCTCTCGAGTGTTGCTCGAGTGTGTCGTCGTGGTCTGTAATCGGAGCCCACATCTGTGCTGGGTTATGAATAAATTTTGAGACGCTCTTGAAAGTTTTTTTTTTTTTTTCATATTTTCTTGACTTCCATGTGGTTTCTGTTTGTGTTTGAAGCAAGTTTTAATTAAGTCATCAGAGGAAACTTGGCCATAATGTGAATTATGTTTCTTGGAAAAGTTTCGGTAATACGATTATAAATATGTCGAAACTGAGCTGCGCGATAATGGAGAAATATTCCAAAACTAATTAATGTACGTTTACATGAATAATAAGCGTATAAAGAATCGTTTAAAAAATTTGTGTATCTTAATTTTAATATGATATGCTTATCAATATTAAATATTTGGGTAATAAATTAGTAGGTAAGCAGAAGGTACATAGATGCAGTAAAAAACTAGATTTAATATTTCTGGAATAATAAAACATTAAAATAGTATTCAATATTCAACTGAATCGCTCCTATTTGGTTGATAGAAACATTCTAGGCTTAGATCTTTATAAATAGTAGAAAATAAAAGTGGTTCCGTTGAATATGGATATTATAGATTGGAATAAAAACATTAATAGCTTTGAAAAAGTGAAAATCATACCGCAACCCACATAGAAATATATCTGATCAAATATAATTATAATATAATTTCAGCTATTACGTTTTAAATTACAAAATAAACTTCAGCTCTGACATTAAAAAGTACAAATTATATATAAAGTCAAATGGAGTTCTCTGACAAGTTTAGCGTTTGTAATGCTCAAGCTAGACGCGAGCACAAAACAACAACAAATTGTTCGCTGGCAACAATTCCAGAGATACATTGTACGATCTATGAGGCAACGTTTCATATTCAGCTGGCAAAATGATTTGTGTTTGGGTATTATGCCTCTTAATGCTGACATATGCGATTCTGATTCGCATTTAGATACGGCCAATGTGAACACTAGGCCAAATTATGAAAAGTATCTATCTGGGTGCCTGTCAGGCCTAACAACAACGAGACAAATCTCGAAATTGATTAACTCTAACAACGAATACGCCAAATAAGTACAGGGCCCATATAATAGAGGCTTGTGTTTGGCTTATTACGTCACAGTCACCTTGAAACTGCGCTCATAAATTTAATTTACATTCAGCTCGAGAGATGCGCAGATACAGATACAGATACAGATAAATGAACATTGAGATGCGCTTAGAACGGCGTTCGTGTATTAATTATTTGAAGCACTCAATTCGAAACATGGCAATGAATATTGTGCTGGAAAAATTAGAATACAAATAAAAATACCCTAACGCTAAATGAAGGCGATGTTGCTAAAAGTACCATACAAAAAACTAAATTTTAAAATATATATATTAATAATAAAATATTAGTAGATACGAGAAATTGTTATTATTGAGTTTCAATGAAATTCAATAATTATTATAATATATATATTGTTTAAATTAAATTTTCAAATATTTAAAACGTTTACAAATATTTATTTCCGTTTTTACATCCATTTCTAATAGTAAATTTCTTGTTGATTTCTGCCTAAATAATTATTTCAAATAAATTTATTTTTTTATATTTAATATTTATATCAATTATATTCTACTAGTCACAGTTAATGTTTATTCATTTCATTTACCATATATAGACGTAGTCCACTGTAGCAGATTCCATATTCGTATCTGCCTAAAAACTCATGTTGGTGCTAAAGCGCAAAAAACCAGTTCAACTCTTTGGCTCTTTTATTTATTTTTTCTTTTTTTGGCGGCATAGTGGCCAAGCACGTGGTTCGTTACTGCGTCCAACCGGTACCGGTTTGTGTTTCTGTTTCGGTTTCTGCTCTGCTGCTGCTACGATGACGTAGCTCTTTGGGAAAATAAAAGAATAAATGAAAAAAAAAAAAAAATAAATAAATAAAACAAAAAAAAAAAAACACATGTGTCCAACTTGCGATCTCGCAACTCGACTCAAACGGTCCATGACCAAAATTCAGTTGTTTAAAGTGCGCAGCGGGGTCAACGCTTTCAAGAGAAATATTTAAAAATAAATAAAAATGAAAACAATATGAGTATGTTGTTCAATTAAAAGCGTGCCCGATGGCTTTTCATAGAAAGTCCATTATCAAATTATTGAATATAATGAATTTTCTCAAGAGGTTCGAGTAGCTGCGCCCTAGCATAATTAAAAACCCATTAAAGTGAGTTATATGCGAAAAATGTTGCAAGTGCTGCAAGTAGTAGAGGCATTCAAGATTTTTTCAAGTATGAGCCGCACCCCCCATTCACCCTCCACAGACAGCCTTGAGTGTCCCTCCACTTCAGAGCTGCCTCTAGCTCTTGCCGGGCCATTTGTCTTTTATGTCAATCAGCAGAAACTTATTTCGACATCGGGGTACTTTGTACTTGTATTCACTTTTTCTTAACTTTACTGCTTTGTTCGTGTTGTTTATTTTGAATATGCTTTCAAGATTAATTGGTATTTGTGCGCTGTATTACAACAGATTTTAATTGATTTTAATGATGCAAATTACTGCTTGTGGTCTTCGGGGGAGAAACAAAAGCCATAAATCTATTGCTTAATTATGGAAATATGCTCCAAGACTTGAGAGAATAATTGACATTTGCGTTTTTCTACGCCGAAAATCTAACATTTGAACTTAAGCTGACTTTTACAAAATCTTTGCCCCTAAGAGTTTATACACAGAATCTTACAGTAGAATTCAACAATCAGAATAATTGATTTTAACCATTATATTATAATTAATATACACAGTCAAAAGACCATAATTTGCGTTTCGTTTATTCGTTTATTCAAGCTTTGAAAAGAAGTTTACTTCAAAGTTCATTTGTGCAGCTCAGGATCTGTTCACTTAATTAGCTTCTGCATAATATCGATGGGGAAGGGAAAGACAATGGACTGCGTCTCCTCGTTTGCAATCGTATTGAGTGTTTGCAGATAGCGCAGCTGGAAATTTATATCGATTCATAATTATAGCTCAAAAGTCATTTATGAGAAAGCGAAAGACGAATCCCCACCTGCAGTGCTATGGGATTCGATTCCATGATGTCGGCGGCCTCCTTCAGTGCCTTGACTGCATCGCGTTCTCCATTTGCAGCAGCTACCTTGGCCATTGCCTCGCGGCGTGCCTCCTGCTCCACGGCCATGGCACGTTGCAGCGACTCCGGCATATAAATATCGGTGCTTTATGGGAATGAGAGAAAAGAGCTATTAAGACTCGAACGTACTGAAAATTAGATTGCTACTTCATTGCGAGGAGCATAAAATGGGTTTGTGGCTCGTTTTGAGCACTCATAAACTCCGTTCGCTGTATGAATAATTTAAGAGCTCATGAGCGAATCCCAACAAAAGGCAGCACGATATTGAAATAAACCTGTCAGCCAATAATATCTGACTTTTTAATAAGCAAATAGAGAATATATATTCTTTTTATAGCTTGTGAAAGGTCGAACTGTGAATATTATTGAGCAGAATATTATGAGATTATTTAGAGATTCAACACGATCTTATTGTATGTCTGTAGCATTTGTTCTAATTATTTCTACTCACATTTCGACACGTTCAATGCGAATGCCCCATGCTTCCGTGGCGCCCGTGGAATCGAGTGCGGCCTTAATTTCCCTGGACAGGGCCTTTTTGGAGCTGACCAGCTCGATGAGCATGTACCCGCCGGTGATATTCCTGAGCGTTGTCATGGCCAACAGCTCACAGCAGCTTTCGGGGTCCATCACTTGCAGCACGACGTCAAGTGGATTCCTGACACGGTAATAGAGTACAGCATCCACGCTGATGGTCACCGAGTCCTTGGTGAGTATGTCCTGTGGTGCCACGTCGAGAGATGTGGTGCGCAGATCGATCTTGCGATATCGATCAACGCAGGGCAGAACAAACACCATGCCAGGGCCACGTGCACCGCCCGGGCGCAAGCGGCCCAACCGCAATATCACGGCCCGCTGATACTCCTGCAGAATGATCAAGCACATGAATATCGAGATGGGAAACGTGATGAACATCAGTACGAAAGAGAGCGCCACAAACGCTATTTCGATGGGTTTGCTGGGCTGACTCTCAGCTGTGTGTGGATGTTTGCGAGATCTTTACCGTGGAATGTTAAACATTTCCAAGCTTTATTGCACTCACTGGTTTTCACATTCCTGTGCTTGTTTACCTCCTCCGCTGAATCGGAGCTCAAGGAATCCGAGTCGTTTCTATCTTTGCCGTCCTGATACATGTTGATATCATGGCTGAACTCTGTTTTCTTTTCATTCTGCATTGCCAATAATTTTCACTTGATGCAAATTTAAGCAAATAATATGCAAAGAAATATCATAGAAACTATGTAAATATATAACACAAATTTGTAGAGAATCACAACATATATTAAAACAAATCAGTGTTGATTATCAAGGAAAAGGTTTGTTGAGAGAAAGCAATCGAAACTCTCTCCAAGTCAAAAGACTTATATAGTTCTGCTATTTCTTCAGATCTAAGTATTCTATTAATTTAATTTTCTATTTCTTTTCTAGTTTTTATGTCCGTTTCGTTCACAAATCTGAGAAATTCAATCATATCAGCTTGCAAAGTATATATCTTATTAGTATTTTGGCTGCGACAACACACAACAGTGGAAAGTTAATAGAACTGTCATTCATCATCATCTCATCTTCCTGTTGACTAAATATTTGACAGTCCACTCAAGCACGTGCCCATCAAATTGTTTCGCTCTACACAATTTGATAACAGGTAGTAGCAAAATAGGAATGAAAACAAAATAATTGAAATCTAATAACAGAAATACTAGAATAAAAGAAAAATAAAAAATATTTCTAAATACAAATTCAACTTCAAGTGTCTCTCAGAGTTCTGCTCGTTCGTTTTTTCTTTACATGTTTAAGCGTCGTATCCGGCTGAAATGTTTTCCATTTCAATTTTATTAATTGAAACATTTTTTAACCTTCAACTGAATTCGGTTAAGCGGCAAATTGAAAACATGCAAAGGCATCAAAAAGCAGCCGTCGGAAAAAAATACAAATACAAATACAAAAAAATAACGAAAACCATTTAAATATTTAATTGCGCACAGTTGTGAGGGATCGAAGATGCTTTTTACAAAGCGCACAAAATTAAATTACAAATAAATTAATATAAATTATGAAACCTCGAGGCTCAAGACCGATTAGCTGCGGATCGTTTTTTGTTTGGTTTCATTATTATTTCTGTTGTTTTTTATTTTTTCATTATTTACTTAAAAGCAGCATAGAAAATGCATTCATTTTTTGGGGTGCCTCCGAATTGAAATTGATGACAAATTTATTGGGCATTACGAATTAATTAATTAGCCGCTCATTTGTTTGTCTAATTTCGTTTTAATTAAATGTTGCCCGATGAGCTTCTTAGATAAATCTTTGCCAAGTTTTTCAAGCTCTGCGAGTATTTTGTATAATTTTTGTTTATCATTTTAAAACTGAAGCGGGAAACGAGCCGGTCTTACAATTTATGAGTTTACGATTTGCATACAAACTAGAAATTAAATTTCAACTAAATGAATATTTAGTTAGTTGAGGCTGTAACTCGTATTCCCGGCACGAGTTTTCAATTTGAGACAGTTTTTTTGTGTGTGTGTCGTATATTTCCTGTCTTGATGTCGATTCAATATATAAATAAATAAAAACTTTCCTATGGATTTTTATTGTACCAAAAATTGTAAAAATACATTAGAATAAAACAAAGCTTAGGCAATTTAATAAACTAAAAATACAGATTAATTTCTTTGATTACATTAGTAACACTAAAAAGTTGTTTTTTGGTTAATCAATTAGTTAACTAGATAATATTGCTATTTGCTTAGCATTCTGCTGATTGCCAATAAAAGCTTTTAATTAAGGGAAAATGATAAATAACGGCTTACAATTTGCACAGCCAATGCGTTAATTTAATGACTAGCATCAAACAAAACGATCGATTGATCCATTAAATTAATTGAGTGTACGGAAAATGTTTCACTAACAGGCCAGACAATAAAGACAGGAACGGCGGGGTGGCTGGGGAGACAGGGGACACACACCTTTACACCTTGCCCATTGTCACGTGCATCACGTGCATTTCAATTTAATGGGCTGGCCAGCAGCTGGTCCGAATCGGTGTCGAGTCTGGCGCTAACGAGTGTGTGTAGTGTGTGTGTGCGTGTGTATGTATGTGTTTGTGTGTGTATTGGGTGTTGGGTCCTCTAGACGCCTTAATTGATGCAGCTCTAATAGATGCACATGCAAATGGGGCATCTGGGGAAGGGGCTTTCGATGGGGGTGTCAATTGACGGTAAGCATACGCAACGGCCTATCTCAGCTGTCCAAACAGAAGCGATGCCCTGCAATAAATCACACATTGAGAGTCAACAAGAAAGAGTTGAGAAACATTTAAAATTTAAAAGCGAAACCAAAAAGAGAAAAAAAAATCGTGATATATGCACAAAAATATTTTGAATACCAAGCTGACTTAAAATGCGTAGAAAGCAAAAAAGAAAAAAGTATTATACAAAGACCTCATGTGGCAAGAGCTATAATTGCTAATGATGACAAAGTGGGCATACGAAGAGGTATTATATCATCTTTTATATAAAAGTTGACATGGTAAATATATTATTTAGACTTCCATATGCTCTCAGCAATGGAATAGTGGATATAAGTGGACAATTAGTTAAGAGGAAGAGCCCATAGGTACATAGTAAGATATGTCTATAAATAGATTGATCTTTAATCGATTGTTAAGGTATATGTATGTCCATTGTTAGATGTATACCTATAGCAATATAAAGTTACAGTCACTTAAACAGAGATATAGATAGTGATAAAGTATCACATGTTCAGATTTATAAGTGATAAATGTTAAATTAAATGGTGTATAAATGGATCAGTTTGTAGATATATTAATACAAGACAGATTGATATGTCTAGCTGTTTATCACAGTTGTATTAATAAAGTGAAATATTTAACGAAAGATACACACATAAATTAACAGAAGTAAACAAAAACATATTTTTCTGAAGATTTTTTAGAATAATCGTGCAGGGCATCTGTAGAGTAAGCCCGGCTCAACTCACGTTTTGCACTGCTCTACTCTTGTTACTTTTGCGCCATGCACTTTAATTAAGTTAACAACTGTCTCGGCCAAAAGAGCAACAGCCAAAAGCAACGATTTTTTTTTTTTTTTTTTTTTTTTTTTTTTTTTTTTTTTTTTTTTTTTTTTTT